ACGGGGGGGGGGGGGACGGAGATGAGAACGGAGACGGATCTATGGGAATCGGTGAATATCGTTGATAGAGCCGGAAGTTATTAGAGAATCCAGAAATTACCTGTTCCATTGTCCAACACCGGAAATTGACAACTGTGTGCAAGAGAGGGGTTATGCTCGATTACCATACGATTTCCGCGTATGTATAATAGCATACTATTTCTGAATCTCCCGTAGACGTTCTAATCTGTGTATTTTAAACTTAAAATATTTGGACGCTCGATCTACAATGTTTTTTGCCTGTTTTTACTTCTTTTGCGAAAATAAAAGCGGATAAGAGAATTATGAATATGACAAAATTTTATTTATTACACCGGAGTACCCGGTGATTTATTTTTCAAACTTGTCTCCCTTGCGTCTCCGCTTTCTGCTCTTAACGTTCATTCATAAATATGAATTTGAATCTCGAGCGGCCTGTTTTCTGTTTCGTTATACAGGGTGTACCTTAACTAAAGAGTGCACTCGCGATTTGTACGCAGTGTAAAAAAAATTTCTAAAGAGCCTCAAATATCAAGTCTGACACGTGCAGCAAATATAGCGTAAGACAAATGCGATGAATGCATCGGTAGTTCCTGAATCCACCACCAGAGTGCAGTTCGCTTAAAGAACAATAAACAAGTCAGATGTTACAAATAGAATCTGTATCAACACAATTATTATGTATGCACGTTCAGAAACAAGAAGACAAATAAAATCTGCACTTTGCGATTCCTCTATAAACATTCAAGGTCGATGTAGTATGGATAGACTCGATCTCACGGTATATATATTACTGTATAAATATTACGTATGCACGTGATATGTGTTATGTATCTGATATCTCATCCAGTATACCTATAACGTACTTTTCAAGTAACACGTAAAATTCCCGAGCGCCCAGTCAGCCAATGTGGCAGCTGTACAGCTGCATATGTGAAGCAGTGAGCCATCTGGTGTCAAATTTTGGCAGCCTCCGGACCCGACCCTGTCATGGCGTCCAACAACAGTTAGTGTAACGAATTCATCCCGAGATGCATATACATTACACATATGCAACCATAAGCAGACAATTATTATTGTTGTTGTTTAGCTTCTGGTTCACGTAAACCTTGAAACGAAGTGTGCTACCAGATGGGAATTTATGGTGGAACTCGGTGGTGCGCATGCGCGAAACTTATTTGTACACGTGCGCTTTGAATGAAGTCACGGCGATTAAATTCACATGATTTTCGACAAAAATAACGCTGCGAACCTGTGAGCTCCGATTTACGAGATGACGGCTGTGTAATTGACAGCTGGTTAAATCGATGTATTGTTATTGTGAAGTAACGGGAATTTGGCGGAATTAGGTTTAGGTAATGGATTTGAATTTTTTTTTTTTCTCAAAAAAGGTAAACTAAAAAGTCAGTGTTAATCGCGGAACGAATTTACTCGCGGACGCTTATGCTTTTCGGAAAACATTGCGTGCAAGCTACTTCTTATGTTAAAGTTTGAGTTATTTATGGATACATATTTATATTCATTCGGGTAGGTAGAAGGGGATGATTTATTTTACGTCTGCCGACGTTTTCGCTCAATTTTCAACGAAATTTCCACGTTGCTCTTATTTCACACTATTGTGCCATACGTTGAATGGGGTGAGTCGATCTTTTTTCCTTTAACCCTTGATATACGATGTAATTGAAAATATCGCAAACTTTTCAATCACACGTAGGAAGCAGGAAACAATTTTTTAAAAATCGAAACAAGGGACAACTAAGTGAAAACGACGAAAAAAAAAGGAAAAAGAAAAAAAATTTTGAAATCACCCGGAGTCGAACCAGAGTCGAGGAAACTGCGCAATGTACATACAATGGTACGTGAAATTCATTTTCCCCCAGGCGACCATTCGCATATGTCACACACATGAGTGCACGTGCGCGAGAGTGACGATGGACGTCACATAAAAAAAGAATAAATTTGGCAATATGCAACTTCGTCCCAGTCCTAAGATTTTCCGCTTCAGTTTGCCTGATCGCAATTTTCCTCCGTTTTTCATGACGTCACGAAGAAAAATAAGAAGACGACCAATTCATGAATATCTTGTCGTCAATGTTCAACCAAGAGGATCCACGAGGACTGGGCAGCCGCTTGGCTCGGGGAGGCTCGTTAAGAGGCGAGAAATCACGGGAAGGTCGAAGGTCGCTGGAAGATAGGAAAGTGCGGAGGGTGGATGAAAAGAGATGACTGGGAGTCTCTCCCGGTAGGTTGTAAGTTGTAGGACGAAGGTTATACGTATAGCGGATAGTAGTTACTAGGTTAGGTTAGGTTAAGTTACAGTTAGATAGTTCAAGTAGAATCTATAGGAACACGGGGGAGGCTGCGAGGGTGAAGGTAAATGAGAAGTCGAAGGTGGAATCTAACCTAACCTTCTTCGAAACATAAATAACCTTCTATACTAGGTGAGCTGAAACTAACTGGAATCAGATACAAGTTTGAAGATTCCTGCACCGAGACTGTGTCGTCACAGTTGTCACATGACGTGGTACGGACTACTTCAATTAGCACGAAGCTTGAGCTTAATTAATGAGGATGCGAAAATGAAGATGATACGTCGATGGTGAGACCTAACCTTGACTGAAACGTAAATACAGGCTGCGTTACGTAAAGCGGAACGAATTTAAATCGGACAGAAGTTTCCAAGTGTCTCGCGAGCTTGTCATCAGATTTGCTGTATAACTTGTTCGAACTATTTTAATTATCAGAGATGAAGTTTCCGAGTAACGAAGTGGGGAGAATTGAGATAAGGGATGTTTTTGGTGAAACCTGGAATTGCGTGAGGAGAATCCAAACGGAGTATCGGAGTATATGTATTGTATATGACGCGATTTCCGTATATTGGTCACGTGAGGTTATTTTGAATATCGTGTAATTATTGATTTCCTTAAAATTGAAATAGGACGAAGATAATATTTTTGGGAGACGGAGATGAAAAATTGCAATAAATCTGCCTAAGACGATAAGCTCGTGCGATTTCATGGAATTGTTTGAGGGACTTTAAGGAATTCAAAAAGATATAATAAATTTTGGCTACGGGTTAAATTTGGCAAAAGACAAAATGGCGTCGCGAGCCCTGTGGCTTCGTCTAAATGCAAAACGTATCCTTGGGTAAGGATTAGGCGAGCTTAGGCTACGAAAATCTGAATGCCTCAGCCTCTAAGAAGGTACGACTTTGGTATATGTATACTGGGGTATAGGGTGTGTGGTATAGTGTATTTCACTGTGCAGGAAAGTGTATGTACATGCAATGTAGGTATGTACAGGGCTGTTACGATGGAGTACGGTGACGATGGGTTTGCTTTTGTGTTACGAAAATTAAGCCGAAACTTCTTAATGAATTTCAGTAAAAGGACAATGGGCTGAGACATTGCGCGTTTCGCGGGTTAATGGATTTCACTGTCTTATCATTCTTATCTACGAGTAATTCAAAGCTCCTCCGCGAGGCTTACTATGAAGTTGGAGTCTGTTGAAATTTTGTAATATTTACTCGAACTTCGCTGCACCAGTTACTTGTACAGTGGAACAATTTTCAAAATTCACATACACCGTCGAAACATTGTTCGCGCACTTGGATGCACGCAAATATATGTATGTGCCATTATACACGTGTCCTACGTAAATAGTAAGACGCAAGGGTGCATATATTACGAAGAAAAATTATTCATTAATAAATTTGATATTATGAAAAAATGGTTTCTTTTGTAATTTACATTAATTTACACATCTTTTTTATCTTTCGTGCCATTTCCCCTTTCTTCCTCTACTCGTGCTCTTTCTCTCGCATGACTTTCTTCTATTTTACATTCAACTTCTTGTCATTATTCTTGACTCGCGCTCCGTTACTTCCGTCTAATAAATTCCAACTGAACTGAAAATCCCGTGGACGGTGACACGACCTGATTTGGAAATACTTGTCTCATTTAAAAAAAAAAAGGTTTTCATACAAAATTTTTCAGCAGTCATCCTACTTACCTAAAGTTATCTCAAAAAAGTTACGCCTGTACGTAAATCAAGATAGCGAATAAGTATATATTATTTATCAAAAGTTGACATCACAAATCTCATAATGTCAATACAATAAGAATTTGATTCGATTTAAATCGAAGAAAGGAGAAAATTGCACACAGCACGATGCAGCATAGTAATAGCATTTGCATGGAGCTGACATTTCTTCCGATTGAAGATTCTCGATTTTACTTCTTTTCTACAGTAAATTTATCAGGAACGCCAATAGAGATTCGTTCGAAATAAAAGGAAGACGTGGATCAGAAAAATCGATACTAACCCTAATTATCATAAAACAAATAATTGTTGTGAACAATGATTATAAATAAATAATTATTTTCAAAAATTTTCTCTTAAACTCTATCTGTGCTTAATAGTTTCATTTTTCTTTGGATTTTCCAAATATCGTTATTTCTCATTAGACTGTTACTCCTTATTCAATTTAAATCCATCTTGCACTATTTATGCTGGGTTCACAATTTCTTTCTCATCGGTTTCAAGCGTTGTCGATTTGATTCAAAGGTATTCGCGGTTATTGGGAGTTATTTCGAATGGGATATATCCCGGGTTCGGTTAGGCACACTCTCTGTTGCTGTACCACTAACGAAATTATCAATGCACATGGCACTACGCGGTTTACGTCGATGCACCGATATGCACTTTATACAAATGCATTCAATCGACAAAGTGCATACGTGAGGTTAATCGATACTTTTACTTTGATACTGGCCATTTTGCCTATTATGAATAATAACGTGGTGTTTAGGTTTCATATACAAATGCACGCGAAGAGCTGAAACTTTGGAAAGTGCAATTTTATGTATTTGCATCATCAATAAATTCATTAGTTTTCAAAAACGTGCAGTCGCAACAATGAATCCGCGTTTGATTGCATTTTTCACACAAATACATCAGTAACGTTACTGATTTATTTTATAAAATGAACAAACTTCAGATTCCAAAAATATTATTCTACATAAAAATCACGCAGCAAAGTGCATCAAACGCATAAGGTACATATTGTAAGGTGCACCCGAAATAAAGGTCAAAAATAATAATGATCCAGTAGAAATGACGTAATTCTCACAATCGACCATTAAATGCACTTTAACGTCTATCAGAGGTAAAGAATGGTAAAAAGTAGGTAGAGACGTTTTAAATGGAACACGTCGCAGCCCAGTCAGACAACGCCCAGAGGGTGATCCCGGAGTCGAAGGTCAATAAATTGCGAATCCGGAAACGGAGTGGATAGTAGAAGTGGGTAGTGGATGATGGGTGGTAGTAATAATGATTACAGTACAGCAGAAGTATTGGTAGGTACAGTCGTCTTAAAGAATATCACATTTCAGCAGAAAGGAATATAATAATAATAATGACAGACAATGTAAAAAACGTGCGAATAGGAATCGAAAAAAAAAAAGAAAAAAAAAAGAAGAAAACCAAGAAAAGCGTAACGATCCTTCCCTACATGGAGGCGGAAAAGGCCGAAGAAACAATTCGTGGATACTCGGCTGCGATTCGAGTGCGAAACTCGAGAAGGAAAAATACTTGGAAGCTTTCCAGTCTGGTACGTATTGGTACTTGAGCACTTAGTTACTTGTTTCATGCTTCTCTAAGTCGAGTCATGACTCACTTTATGAATTTCTCCGACTAGCACGCAAACAAAGGCATTTTCGTACCAGTTAAAGTAGGATAATTTTAAAAACCCCGTTTTCCTTTTAAATTATGGTTTCTTTTTTTAATTCGTTATCGTGCATACAAATTTTTTAAAAATAGAAAAATATTCATCGCCAACATGACTGTGTCAATTAATAATTACTAGGTTAAGTATGACAATTGGTAGTCCAATTTCGCAAGTTAATTATTTCGACCGTCTCATTGAAGACGACAAAAAGGAACAAGTAAAAAAAAATCAGGAAAGAAAATGAGTGCATCAAGGGAAAAAACGAGTGGAATGAAGTCGAGGGCAAGAATAGGTTTTTGTTAGTTGGGTGGCGACTCTTTTATGGGTCTGTTTACACTAAATTTTGACATTGTTTGAAAGTTCCGGACTGTTTCGCGAGCGCTTTACGGTCCTGGGCAACGTGAGCGCGATTAGGCAACATCTAAAAATATTTTTTTTTTCACCGTATAGACTAACCCAAGGCTGCCTTAGAGTTGCACCCCTTTGACTTTTTACACGTACGCTTTTCGCTTTCATGCAAGTTAAAAAGATTTCAAATTTCCCGCGCTCTGTCATTTCTTTATAAGTTACCTCCGAACATCGCGCATATCTATACATATATACCTGTATATATATTTTTTAATGAATATTATGTTTCCTTTATGGTTTAGTAGATAGCTATGTATTCCATATGTAATTCTGTACTTTATTTACTCACATATAATCAGTCCATGTAAAGCAGGTCACAGAGCCTAGGGGATATCTATTGTAAATACTATACACTACATACTATACACAATTCACATGTGTGCTATTGTACACAGATAAGTATATGGCCCATTTCGCCATTTCTGTCTCTGGTATTCCTGCCAATACGAGTATCGCGAGTTATTCGCATTAGCATAAGTGCGTGTAATAGCTTGAATCCAGTATAGAAATTGAGGTACGAGACATAGATGGTATGAAATAAGATTAGACCAACTGACAGATATTTTAGTACGACTGTAATTAGGTAAAGAAAATAACCGCATGTCGCGTAGGAAAATATGTCCATATTTTTTTACCAAAGGTAAATCAATAAAAATCAATTGAATTAATTAAAGAAAGTTCTGGATAATTATAACCTGGGTCTAATTTAATTAAAAAAAAAAAAAAAAAAAACTTTATCTCGTGAAACAATTTTAAATAGGGATTTTTTGCACCATTAGATTAATGGAGACGGGGGAACGTCAATGTGTAAAATTCAGTTTTACCTCGACAGGAGAAAAAAATTCTATTATCCACCGCAGCCTCCTATCATTGTTACCCATAGAATTTGTACAGGGGACCTCCTATCGATCGTTTGTACCTCGCGACATCAGCCATTTTGAAAAATGTATATATGGATATTTGATATTTTTTAATTTTTTTTTTTTTTCGCAAACACTTTTCATTCTACGAATACGCCAATTTTCGAGAATTTTTGAGAACTATGTGAAAATTATGGGAAATGTTTTTTTAAAATGTCCAAGTAATTATGTGTTTTTTTTTCTATATGTAACGACCAACGTCTGTCAGGGGACGGTATAGCTATTTTTTAATGTCGAGTATATGCACTTTGTTAAAAACCTGCAATTTTATTTGAAAGCCTCACAGACCTTTGACGTAGCAATTTTAATCAGGAACCTTGCACGAATAATCGACCACACACGACTTGCATATTGCATGCTTACCATATACATATACATATATATATATATACTACTGCGACAGTGCACTCTGGTACAAGGGAATTTAAGGAAATGCACTGGAATACACTGCATCTCCACAGTGCATGCAGATGCATATTAGAGATGCAGCAGATGAAAGAAAAAAAAATTATACAACCTATACTACGTACAGTAATTTCAAAGAAGTGGGGGAGTCATATCGATCATACGCAAAATGAATAAATGCATCTTACTCAAATGCAATAAAACAAGATAAATATTATTCGCAGTAAAAGCTATGGGTGGCCGGTGTCATTAAAAAGAACGTGGTACTCGTGGAATTTGAAAAATTTTTCAATTACGGAAATTCTATATGACTGCTGAGATGAATTTCAAGATATATCAGTAATGCAACGGTGCATTATTGTAGCTGCATATCGGGACGCGAATGCACGTGCAATCCAGTGGGTGTCTACTGGGCGCGGCCCTGTCAGTACCTTCCGCATGGGAGTCGACGTCTCTATCCGTCTAAAATAGTTTAATCGAGTAAAATGTTTAATGGGTTCTAAGAATTCATCTAATTAAAACATACACCGAGTTGCCTATGTTACACATGCCAGTAAAACGTCATCGAGACAATTTTTCATTCTGTGATGTTAAATTCATCTGATACAACGTGTTAACACATATGACATGTATGACGCAAATAACTATATATATATATATATATATATATATATATAAATACACGTAATATGCAGCAGCAGTAATTAATTTGGAAATTTAATAACGACGTGGGATCCCACTGTGGTCATTACGAAGACTGTAGCATTGTCATTTACCACTATGATCAACCAATGAACGACGAGTGAAGAATAAATTTTGAATATGTAAATAAATCCATTTTTTTTTTCGAAATTAAAACAAAAATTACGTTCACAATGTAAATCCGCCACTTTGTCTCACGAAAGACTATCAAATTTCACGCGTTGTAAATTTCGGGCAGAGTTACTTTAAAGATGCGAAAAAGTGCATCGAAAATTCAATGCAGTTTCATACATGCACTTCTATATAACGTTGCATCAAAAATTCAAACCGTTCCCTTTCGGTTGACCAGATAATAGAAAAAAAATGACAAATAAACTCCCCGCAGCATAAAGGTACAAAGGGAATGCCGGTGCATCGTTTGAAATTGCAGTGCAATGATTTTCGTCGTTTCACTATAAATTTTCATTTTGACTGATCAAAGTGGCCTAACGCGAGTTAAACTTTTATTGCGTTTACTACGTG